TTAGCCGAAATGTTAGCCTGAAAGTTAGCCGAAACATTAAAAAAAAAAATAAGTAAAAAATATATATAAAAAAAATACTCAATCTGCGGACAGCATGCTCTTTCGTTCTAAAAAAAAATAAAAAATATAATAATAAAAAATCCAATAATAGCCGAAAAGTTAGCCCAGAAGTTAGCCGAAATGTTAGCCCGAAAGTTAGCTGAAACGTGAAAAAAAATTCCAACCATGAATAAGAATGGAGCATCTTACGGTGAAATTCTCCAATGGGCTACCGAGCAGTATACAAAGAGTGGGGCTCAGAAAGGGATCTTTCGTCATACCCAAGCGGAAAAGGTTGCAAACCTTACAGTTTATGTCAAAACATCCCCAGCACATCATCAAGAAGAGAGCAAATTCGTGGGAAGTTCTCGGTATACCACCACTGATGCGGCAAAAAGGAGGTAATAACTACAATAGCTACTTGAAAAGCGTCAAGAAAGTTCTTTCTCAAGTGCCAGATCACAGTTTGAACACCTCCACCCTGTTGGAACTGCAAGCCGATCCGCGTGTAAAGCGTCTATATGACACCCACTTCAAAAACAATCCCGATCACATCAGTTACCCGTCTGTGAGAAATGTGATTGCATCCAACATACTCAACTATGATTCCACTACCGATCAAGTTCGCGATTCCGTTGCAGATGTCAGGAAGAAGAGAAAGGCACCTTTAACATCGGTGCCTTTCAATCTACTACAAGATCATGAATTTGACCGATGGATCCTGCAAATCCTGGACAGTTTCCTCCGGCATACAAATATACCGGTAACCTTTTTGAAGAGCAACTATTTCACAAGCCGATCACAACTGCTGCAACTCTACGATGAAGATTGACTGAGGTTCAGGAGTCGGGTGGAAGCGGCAGCGGATGCCCTGAAGACGCAGACGCTGGACGACTACACTACTCTGGTGAACGAGACGAATCGCATCTACATGTCCAGGTACCCGTTTGCAGCCATAGCAGGTGCCATGGGAATCGACAAACACGTCGATGGGTTCCTTCGATCGGAACGAAAGATTCATGAACTAACCACCCTTGTGCTAGCTGTACCGGGATCACAGCTCAAGTTTCAAGATCTCAACGATATGACTTCCACCTATGGTAGAACAACAGAAGCAAAATTGATCCATCCCGAGCATTTCATGATCAGAGCACAAAAGGTGATGGTGGACGATGCATCATTCATTCAACAGGTGCTAAAGGACAAAAGCAGAATCACTCGTATCATCAAGGATATCCTGAGCGGACGCTCCATGTGATCACGTGCCAAATATTTTCAGGCTATGATCAAGAATGGACTATCCTCTCAGCAGTGCCGATATCAAAGGAAGATTGAATGGTGTCGGAGGGTTCGTGGGCTGTACGAGTTACGACCTCTTGCCACCCTTGAACAATGGAGACTTTTGTATCGTCAACACCGACAACGTTCTACCGGTGTACGATGCAACGGAAGGCGGACATCATTGGTTGACCGTGTGTCGCGAGCAAAACGTGATCTTGGTTTTCGACAGTTTCGGACGCAGTCTATACACTATGGAGCAAGATTACACTGAACCTGCACTGTGCGATTTCTTTAAAGAAGCCTACGCAGACTGTAAGATCATCACCAACACCCAAGCCGTTCAAGACAGAAGCACAGCAGTATGTGGATGGTATGCCATATTGATGGGAAAGCTATGGTGGTGGTGGTTTAGTAGTATAGTGCGATGGGGGTTCTGGCTCAAATCCCACCTTTGACCCCTGGCTGCCTAATAAGGAAGAATAGTCCATATATGGAAGATGACCTTTGACCTTTGACCTTTGACCTTTGCTGTGACCTTTGACCTTTCCAAATACGGATGATTGGTCCATAGAAGGAATGTGACCTTTGACCTTTGGGATTGGTCTATATATGGGGTGAAGTGTCCTTATAAGGAAGGTGCACGTGGTTCAGGTCATAGTAGGCATCTTCCATAGTGGGGAGAAGTGTCCTTATAAGGAAGTTGTACACGGATGAGGTCATAGTAGGCATGTGCCATAAAGGGGTGAAGTGTCCTTATAGGGAAGGTGTACACGGATGATGTTATAGAAGGCATGTGCCATAAAGGGGTGAAGTGTCCTTATAGGGAAGGTGTACACGGATGATGTCATAGTAGGCATATTCCATAGTAGGGTGAAGTGTCCTTATAGGGAAGTTGTACACGGATGATGTCATAGTAGGCATATTCCATAGTAGGGTGAAGTGTCCTTATAGGGAAGGTGTATATGCTGTAGTTTTTAAATAAGGCCAAAACAAAAAATAGGCTTGTTTCCGGTCGGCAACCCCTCAAAAAAGAGACTCGGTCGGCCGGAATGAAACTTTTTTTGGATACTTTTTTTGGTTCCTCAATCGTTGTGGCATTGATGGACAAGAGCACCTACACATGTACATGTACATTGTACATTATATCATGGCAAGGATCGATGTCAAAGTAATTTTTAGTTGACTGACTCACTGTTCTTGTACAGCATGTGGTGTATTCCTGTTTTCGTACATCCTGAGAAATCAAGCAAACAGTTCGAGTCCTTCCAGCTCCGTTATTCTAGCTCGTATCGACCCCTGAGGTTTTTGAACCGACAGCGGAGAATCTCTGCTACCTTGTAGGTGTTTCGATTGTGGAATTCGGTTGAGATTTGACTGAGTTATGACTCGTTTAGTGCACTTGCACACATGGCATTGCCACCGTTTGCATACATTTGGGACCAAAAAAAAGTTTCAGAATTTGGGAAAAAGTGGCCCGGTCGGGCGACCGGAAACAAGGTCATTATTTGTTTTGGCCTAAGGCATATTCCATAGTGGGTGGAAGATGCCTTATATGGCATGCGTATCTTGGCCAGGTCATAGTAGGCATGCAGTTGAAACAATCATTGAGGTCCTTTCTGTCTGAGGCTTTGAAGAAAAGAAGCATCATGTAACAAAGCTGGGTTCGTACCCGCAACCTCTCGTACGGAAGGCATGGACTGTACCAAACGACCAGGACGACTACACACAAGACCCAAGGCTCAAATCACCTATTTATACCCGGACCGTAAAGAAGAAGAAAAAACGCATCATGTAACAAAGCTGGATTCGTACCCGCAACCTCTCGTACTGAAAGCACGAACTGTACCAAACGACCAGGACGACTATGCATAAGAGGGAAGGCTCAAATTGACTACATATACTGGGACCGAAGCTCACCAAGGTCTCGCTGGATGAGACATCAGCGACCTATCGACAATGTCATCGAGCATGGAAAGAAGGGTGGGTGGTGGTGGTGGTGGGATCAGCATGACATCCAACAGATGGACAGTCGCCAACAATCACTACCCGGTGAAAGGGAGGTGAAGGCCCCATTTTTGGGGTAAAAAAACCGGGTGCTGTATTTTTATATTTAAAAATCATTTTTCGGGTGTTTGAGGTGGTTGAGGGGATATGACATCATGATTGGACCCCCAATCGTTGTACCTGTTAATTGCCTCGGATGGGAGTCGGTATATAAAGTAGATACATTGTTGGATAATGTTTCATTATGAAGATGGTGATGATGTGGGGTGAAGATGGATTCTGATTTTGATATCTTACGGGCCTATGTACGTGAAAAGAGACTTCGTGAAGTAGAAGAACAAGCAAGAGAAGAAGAAGAAGAAGAACAACAACAACAACAAGAAGAAGAAGAGCAAGAAGGGGAGGAAAAACAGTGTCATCATCTTAATCATGTTGTTCATGAAGGAAGATACGTATGTTCTTCGTGTGGACTTGTCATGGATGTGGTTTACTTACCTGAAGTTGATGTGCATCAGAGATGTAGTTTGATGAAGAAGCCTTATGCTGCACATGAGCGGTTATGTGGTGTGGATCGTCATCTTTTGCATTTTCTTTCGAAAACTGAACTCTTATCCGATCAGCTTCGTGTACACCCTCTTCGAGAGCAGATAAGTGCGATGAAGAAGTCCTGTTTGTACAAGAGTCTAAACTATTCTATAGCATTATCCTGTATAGTATACGATACGAATGTGGATGCATTACGTAAACTACATTCCTACTTACCTCGTAGCAATGTGTCCTGGTTGAGGTTCAGTCGAATCATGAAACCTCTTCCTCAGCATTTTCCACTCCTATACGTACTGCATCTCATGGAGTCGACTAGGATGGTGTCTTCATTGCAACTGTCCACGTTGCGTTCGAATTTGCTGCTTTTATCTCCATCTGATATATCTCTTATGACATCATTGATTGATGCTTATTGCTGGGAAACCTATTCACTTGATCACGTGATCCAGAACATGCACACGTTTGACTGTGATCTTATTTCCATACTGTATCAGTTCACAAAGGTGGCGGTATCGTGTAAGGAACCTTTAAAATGAGATGGATTTTAGCGTGCACGATGCTGATTGGTCAAATATTTTTGGCGGGCTTGATTGACTGTATACTACTTTCTACTCCAATATCTCATGATAGTCATAAAAAAATAATAATAATAAAAAATAATAAAAATAAAAAATAAAACTTCTAAAGAACAAGTATGGGTGGTGTTGTGTCGAGTAGTACGTCCACTGAAGAGTGCTGCCTTGCCTCTTCTGACTCTAGTATCCCCACTCCTACTAGTGGAGAATGGGTTGCAGGATGTGAAAAGAATGGAATTGGGAAAGATGAACCAGGGTGATCTCATGTGCACACCCATCAGGGAATACGATTTATTTGAGAAAGAAAATATTTCCTAACCTAATTAGTACAGTGTGTGTGTGTGTGCGAAGATGGCATACTGGGCTACGCATTTCCATAGGAGTGATGGTGACGAGGCCTCCCTCAAACACATGCAAAGCATGCGGAATGACATTGCTGAGATGCAATCGGTTGTGGGGAACGATGACACCGACAACACCTTGGTTCATGATGTGGAGAAACTGAAAGAGGAGAAAGCCGATGAGAGCAATGTGCAAGATGTGGAAAACAGATCTATGCGCTACACAGATCAAGCCATAGCAGCTGATGAGCTGCACGTTAAAACAGACGGATCCGTGCCCATGGATGCTAACCTCGACATGAACGAGCATTCGATCTGTAATTTGACGTACGACGATAGCTCTTTGACATGTGCTGTCCCTGCCGGTTGGGTGAAGGATGAAATCCGTCAATCATCATCAAGATTGCAACACGACATCGACGCTGTGCGCAAGATGAAAGGTCCTCGTGGTGATCGGGGATTGGGATGGCTTAGCGGAGGTGATATGCCACTGAACTCTGTAGGGAGAAACGGTGACTTCTATGTGGACGCAACCACGCTCATCTTGTACAAGAAATTCAGCTCGGAATGGAAGGCTTTCGGTCGGCTTCATAGATCAAGAGATGAAGCTGGTCCACGTGGAGAACGTGGATTGATCGGTCCTCAAGGTGAGACTGGACCTAGAGGAGCTGATGGACAAGGTGGTGAGCGCGGTCAAAAAGGTGATCAAGGAATACCTGGTCCAGAAGGTCCCAGAGGTAAAGTTGGACCACGTGGAGAACGTGGATTAGTGGGTCCTGAAGGTGAGATTGGACCTAGAGGACAAGATGGGCAAGACGGCTCACAAGGTGAACGTGGTGTCCAAGGTGATCAAGGAACCATAGGCCCCGTCGGTCCCCAAGGAACCATCGGTCCAACCGGTCCTCCAGGAAAAAGAGGTCCCGTGGGCCCCCAAGGAACCAGAGGTCCCGTGGGTCCGCAATCAAGTCAGAACCTATCCGATCCGTTTCATCTACTACCTTACATTCGGAGAAACGCCTACCTCTACATATACTCTCATCCTAGCAGATTTGAATCCGTCATCAGGGTGAGGAGAAACAAGTACAGAGGTGGAAATCTCGTTGCCTTGAACGACAAGAGAATCATCGTGAACGGCATCGACATGTTCCGAGACGGTCACTTCTACCTCAACATTTCACAACACGAGCAAGTTTCCATTAGAGAACGATTCGTCAATCTGTTTCACGACAACATGTCTTTTGCAATGTTCCAAGTCATTCAAGTGGACGCACCTGACCCTAGAAACATGGCGTTGAAGGCATTCGACATCGATACTGTCGGAAATTTCACCTTGGATAGTTTGTACGTGTTGTTCACTGCCACCCACATAAGTGGCAACTACTTCACGGGTTCCGGCTCTTCATCATTCAACCTACCCGTTTCGTCTTTAACAAACCAATTATCGGTTGCTTTGGATAAGCCTGTGTCGAGCATGACGGATCTCTTGGGTACAAAGTGTGTCATAAGTTACGCTCGGAATTCAGAACGCCTATTCACTCTATACGTAAACTCCATTTTGATACATTCCAACTTGGACACGGATCCATTTTCCAGAACCAATGGAATCGAAGATTGCGATTACCGCATTGGTGGTACTCAATTCTTCAACGGCACTACGTCAAAGTTGTTCTGTCATTTGCACTTTGTCGAGAGTTTATCTTCTCACACAATCCAGGGCATCCACACAGAACTCATGGCACACTACAATATCTGAAAGTATTAAGTACTTCGATTGTACATATAATATATAGCGCACACATGCTACTCTACATTCTTGAGATGAAAATGAAAAATAAAACCTACCTATAGTGATTACCATCACAACATCAGAATGTCTGTGATACTGACGGTGGCGAACAACACGTCGGGGGTGAGCAGGGGATTGCACAAACCGAACTTTACTCTAAATGTGAAGGACCTGGATACGCGCGATAAAGTCCTGCATGTTGAATCGGCTCAGTTTGAAGTACACTTTGAGAACATAGACGAGGCAACGAACAAACTCTATGTGGTACATGGTGAAGAAGAAGAAGAAGAAGAAGAGGATAGACTGTCCATCAAGACGGGAACATATAGCGATGTAGACGATTTGGTGTCTATAATCAATGCCACTCTGAAACGAGCAGGACACGGAGACATTGTGTTTTCCTACTCTCGTCACACCAGCCGCATAAGTGTCTCGGTACCCAGGAAGAAACGGTGCTTGTTGAAGAAGGACTCACCCGGATTGGTGCTGGGTGTGGGCACTATTCTCAAACCATACACGATCGAGGGATCTCACACGTTCCCGTTCGCTGTGGATCTGACAAAAGACAGACGACTTGTCCTGCTCTACACCGACCTCATTGGACCTGCTGTGGAGTACGAAGACAACACTGATTCGAGGGTGTTGAAGACCTTTCTCATTCAAACCCTCAACGGTTTGAATAACTACGTGTTTGGAAAAGAAGACAAGCGATTGCTGCTTCCACACGAAAACGTGACTAGCATTTCGTTTTGGTTGAAATTCAACACCGGCGAACACATCACTTCGGGATATCCCGTCTACCTTGATCTTCGGATCACCAGCACGACTTAGATGGATCTTCCAGATGTTCGTGTCCGCCACGTGCGAGACATGGTGGAGGATATAGCAAAACGAAAGGAATTGGAGAGCGAAAAGGTGCGTTGCCTGGAGAAGTACGTGATTTACAACACCGCAATCTTGTCCTTTCTCATACTCACTCAAACCCTTCTCAATATTCTCCAAGGGAGTGGTGTCGTATCTGGAGAACATCGCATTCGAATCATCGCCATCAGTAGCACGATCATCGGCGTGGTCATGGCATGCATAGGCAAACACGTTCTCGACACCAAACGTCAGCTTGTCACGTGTATCGAACAACTGCAGCAGATGGAGAGAGCTGAAGACGCGTTCATGTTGGAATTGGGCATCACTCTGGAGGATGGGAAGCTCCCTAACGAGGAGCATCGACGATTGATAGCGATGATGAACGACTTTCGCAAGACACTGGATATTGGATCGTTGAAAAAAATTCGCCCCTATTATAATGTGACTGGCAAGAATGGCACAGGAAATCTACTCGCCGCAAGCTCCGGAGTCCTTCACGGGACTCCTGACCAACACGAAGATCGTTCAGAAGAACATCCTCGACAGGACGGAGAAGAAACTCTCGTTGCTTGAGGGTAGACGCGGAGTACGACTCTTTTCCACAGCAGATCGATCACCACCATCCCTGAACAATGAACTGGACATCTCGTCACCGAATTTCATTGCTCTCGGGGAGAGCTATTTCATCGTGAAAATGCGCTATAGTGTCAAAAACAATCTCGACAATGAACCTGGAGACTATACGCGATGGGTGTGCACCACGTCACCAGCCTTTTCGTGGTTCAAGAACATTCGAGTGGAGATCAACGGAACAGAGGTCACGCAATCGAGTAAAGTTGCCGACATGCAGATGGTTCAGCATATCCTCAGTCTAATGGAAAGCAGCAGCGAACGTCTTCAGTACGTTGACTCGGATCTCTACGGTCTACAGAAACTGGATCCGCAAAGAGCATTGAGAGGTGTGGATTTATCGCCCTATCAACTTGGTGTGAAGCGTAAGCATGGCTATGCCTTCGAAACAAACGCTGTACACGCTGATGCAGCACGAGCACCGGATTTCGATGTTAATTTCACACCCAAGCGTGCACCCACCGTCGAGCTTGTGACCAACGAAGGCTTCTCCAACACGGTACAGGAAAATGCACTTCGGGCAGCCGTTGGACGGTTTCAATACAAGCTGAGACTCTTCCTACCGTTTTTCAATCAGGACGATGCTTGGTTACCGCCGGGTACACAGATGAAGCTTCGCTTTGATCTACCCCAATCCGAGCTTTCCAGATACATCATGCTTAGCGATCAGGGAGGTGGTGGCAACAGTGCTCTGAGTGTCGGTGATATTAACATCGATCTACTCCAACTGGACTTTGTGTACACTACCTATCGCATGGAACCCAATCTTACCGATCGTGTACGCCTTCCCAAGCAACTCTATTTCCATACGTGGTGCCCTCGTCTCATACAAAAGAGCATTTCAGATGATGCTGGTACACTGGAACTGCTTCACAATGCAGACATACCACGCAGAATGATCCTGTTCTTCACGGATTTGACTCATGGTACACAACCAACATTGGCTGGAGGCCAAGCATCACATTCTTCGAACAGACTGGCCATGATTCATGCAAATCTCAGTCAACTTCGCGTCACTGTCAACGACGAGACGCTCTTTGACAACCCGCTCAAGTTCCAGTGGGATGTGAGTCGTAATACGGAAGGACAATACTTCTACGATTACAACAAATCCTCCTACCTGCGTGGCTAAGATCTGGTTCAAGACTTTTTCGGCAAGACGTATGGAACGCAGATCCCCATCACTGCTGCAGATTACTGCAATCACTACTTTATGGTGCCTATCAACTTGAATCTGGATCGGATGACAGACAATCCAAGATCGAGAGGAAATCTGTCCATCGACTATCAATTTAACGACGTGACAAACGCCCCCGTGAGAAGACCTAGCGAAAATGGTGCCTCGATCAAAGTCAACCTTCTCTGCATGGACAAGTACCTGTACACCATCAGCAAAGACGAAGGCATCAAAGCCGAAGTTGTATAAATTAATTCCGATCTAGTACTAAAAGGGCATCATGGAAGGTGGTGACCTAGAGACCAGACATCGTGTCTACGGTGGTGATTTGAAATCGTCGAGTCGACAACACGGTGGTTTCTTCTGGAAAAAGAGCTTCTGGAAAAACCTTATTGGTGCTGGACCCGAGGAGATGGACAAGCAGATGGCGGAACCCATGACAAAACAAGATGACATGCAACGCGGTGGACTTGGACCCTTGGCTGCCATGGCAGAAATGACACTTCTTCCCATGCTTTTGGGGAGAGGAGAGTCCGGAGACATCGTGGAAGCACAAATGAAAACGGCTTACAACCCGTCCATGCACCGAGGTGGTCTAGCCATTCCACCAGGATTAGCCGCCAAGGCCATACCACTACTAACCAATCTGGCTGCTCCCTTAGCCATGGGTACCATGGCATCACTAGGTGACAACGTCATGGATAAAATATTCGGTAGAGGAGTAAGGAAGGGAAGATCAACAGGTACCACGAAGCGCGCTAAAAGTCGTCGTCACGCTCCGAAGAACATTCGGCAACGAGCACCTCGAAAAACCAAAAAGCCAGCTCGTCAAATTCTCTCCAAAGGTCGCAACACACGAGGAATAAAGAAACAAGGAAGGGCCTTGTTCAAGCAATTAGAACATCGTGCCCTGAACGAAGCTTCGTCATTCCTGTCTGCACCACCACCACCACAGAGATCACTGACCCGTCCTGAAACCCCATTTGCTCAAAAAATTCGACAGAACATTAACAGTGCAGGACCGTCTTCTCTGAGTTCCGCTCACATCGGCCCATCCTTCAACATCTGATCATGGACTTTATCTCGCTCCTTGGACAGGAAACCGAGAGGAAGAAAAAGGCTAGTCCCGTAAGGAATGACGATGTTCCATCCACGGTCACTGCTCGACACAAGCTGCACGTTCCTGGTCTTCAATTCGAGTCTAAGGATTGGTTCACGGAAATCATTCCTGCTCTGAAATCCTGGGGACAAAACGTATTGTTTCTGGGACAGAGCAACATGGGTAAATCCCACTTTCTCATCAAACTCCTGAAACGCGTGCAACCCGAGCGTATGGTGGTCATCTCCAACACGCCGGCCGATCAGTATCGTCTTCCAAACCTCAAATCCTTTAAGCATTACAGCATCATGCCCGAGTGCATCGAAGACATGGATCTCCAGCCTAATACCTATGTGATCATTGATGACATCAGAGTGATGGGTTTGAAGCATGGTAGTCAAAGAGAGTGTCTCTACAAGTTCTTCACCATGTACAGTCATCATCATAAGTTGAACGTGTTCTTTCTCTCTCAGAGCTTTGATAACATTAAGGACATGAAGATCAATGCAAACTTTATGTATCTGTTTCGCTTCACCGATAAAAGCAACATCAAACGTTATCTCAATACTCTGTTTGGTGGTCTGTGTACGAAGTCATTCATTATCTTTAGATTGTATGAGAAGTTATTGACGGTGTGTCGCAGGCCTATCCTAACCATTGATTGCTCTTCTAATCAGTACTACACGTATTGCGAAGACACTGCATTAAAGGTGTTTTTTGAATAAACCCCTCGTTGATGTGTGTGTGTGTGTGTGTGCGTGTGTGTGTGTGTGTATACGATCGCGATACATGTAGTCGATAACAGCTGAAATGTTAGCCTGAAAGCTAGCCGAAACATTAAAAAATAAAAAGAAAAAAAAGAAAATTAAAAAAAGAAAATAAAGAAAAAATAATAATAATAAAAAAATAAAAAAATAAAATAATAAAAAAATCCAATAATAGCCGAAAAGTTAGCCCAGAAGTTAGCCGAAATGTTAGCCTGAAAGTTAGCCGAAATGTTAGCCTGAAAGTTAGCCGAAACATTAAAAAAAAAAATAAGTAAAAAATATATATAAAAAAAAAATACTCAATCTGCGGACAGCATGCTCTTTCGTTCTAAAAAAAAAATATATATATAATAATAAAAAATCCAATAATAGCCGAAAAGTTAGCCCAGAAGTTAGCCGAAATGTTAGCCCGAAAGTTAGCTGAAACGTG